GTAGTATCGCTATAATATGGGTCATCGTTAGCGTTATAAGTGTGCAGGATGCCAACGGGTCACAACCTCAGCCAATTCCCTGATTTGGGAGGCAGTGGGCAGTCCCGAGGTATTTTCAGAAAAATAGCACAATTTTGTAGATTATTGTCGCATGACAAAGAGTTACATCCTATCTTATTATTAATGAACAAAATCTTGATAGAATCATCTCTATGTCGCGATCGATTAAACTGCCGATTATGCATGAGAGAAAAGCAACATGAAGATTAATTATGACAGGCTAAGCTTACTGATTGTACGGTCATTCTTGGCTATAAAATATTAAAATGGAAGCAAATTTAACAGGCTAAGTCTCGAAGGTGAGGTTTTGTACAGGAGTCCATCACATTGTGAGTGTTGGTGATTCGTATGTCGGTGAGTTCACCGCATTGGGCCCCGCAGCATCTGGGATCTCAGTGCGCCCTTATCCGATTCCCAGCCTGGGGGGAGATTGCAAAGCTCTCGGCAGGTGAGTCCCCGCTGGTGGAGTGTCGCCGTTACAGAGTTCCGGTTGTGTATATTCACCACACTGCGATGTGGGCTGCGGCTGTTGGGAGTTGCCATCTAGAGATTCTATGGGAGTCAGTGCCCCGTCACCATGGGCCTTGTTCCGGTTTCCTGCTGCAGCATGTCCCGTGCGCCCCAAGTGACCAGCTCTCCGGTACCTTCTTGTTGTCCACCTTATATGTAGAGGGTCTTGTAGAGCACACTGCGTGGAGGTCTTGAGGTTGCATCAGCACCTTGTGAGCAGGTATGTAGATCTTCTGGGCATGCTGGTGCAGATGTTTGGTTGCAATTAGTTTTGTGCCCTCCCTCTGCCTCCATCCACTGCGGTGAGCAGGTTTGTTGCTGATTAGCGGAGTACATGGGAGCTTCGCCTGGGAGGTGGTCCGGTGCGTGCTGGACTGCTGGGTCAGAGACTTGGCTGTGATCGGTTCGCATGTTTGCTTGAGCTGCTGCCTTGCCTCCATATTTGCCCAGAAGTTGGTTTATGCGGAGTTATGTCATGTGGAGCCCATAAAACTTACAGGCTCCCCTCCCCCCGTAAATTTTAGTTTTTTAATGATATCTATTCAATACTTAATTATTTCTATAATTTAATAAAAAAGAAGACATGACTGCCATTGGTGTTCTCTCTCTCTCCATTCTGACAACCCTCACCTTTGAATAGTCTGTATATTAACTAACTGTGCTATCGCAGTCACTGATAACCTGATTTATTTTTTATTAGCTATGACCTAAGTGATATTTTGGTCTAAACTATGGGCTAAAAATACCAATGCTAAATGTAAAAATAAACACCCCGTGACATGTATCTGCACTCTGCCCTGTTTGCCCGCTGTGATTCTAGCACTATCTGTCACAGTTACTTGCCTTCTCTGCCTTGGCCAAGGACGACAGAAATAGACACAATAAAATATGAACACGAGTTGCTGGCGAGAATTTACAGATTGGAAGGGAGACATAGAAACAGCAATGAATTATCGTTAAATATTTAAGGATGCAAGCGTCATCTCGAAAATACCAGTGTGTGCATTTACATGAGCGTCACACTTTAATAATAGTGGCACAGCTTTAGCATTCAAAATCCATTGTTACCTAGTAACAACAGCAGTAAAACAATGCTGCCTAGACCTAAATTGGGAATGCAAATGTAAATCCAATTCACTTATTCAGTTAAAGTTAAAGGCAGACAGGATCACTGACGTAGGTATCTTCATTTTAAAGAAAGCTATATCTTTACCCTTTCTAATTCTGCTTCAATCTAATCACCGTGTCTGCTTTGATCTGAAATATTATATTTCAAGCCAGCACTCACTGCCATTAATTACATCCTCTACAGTTACTCCTAATAAACTATATGTCTGTCAATCTCTCTTGTGTTGTCTGACAACACATGTTCTGGATTTGTCAATGTTCAAGTCAGTAAAAGTTATTTTTGCATTGTACCAGCCCGATAGTTCCTTTGATTAAAGTTATTATTAGTCCCAATTGATCCTAACTAGCTAAATGATTACTCATTTAAAAAGAAAAAAAAAAAACAGAACCATATAATAAACAAAAAGAGCCAGGACTGGATGCCTCCCCAAGTTGTGAATGTTGATGAGCTAAATAATTTGTAGGAGGACAACATGATTGTTCACCATCAGTTAAATCAACCCTCTTATCCCACAGCATGTGATGGGGAAAGCATGAGTGGAGAGTAGTATGCATACTTGGTCAATGTTATTTCTCTTCATAGTGAGCCATTTTATCCACACTCATCCTGACTCATTGGGTGTTTCTAAATAATTTTAACTTAGTAATATTAAACCATACTGCAAATTGTCCCACTTCATTTTAAAGTGCAAGCTTGTGAAGGAATGGGGGGGGATCATTCCAAGACTCCAACTAAGGGCTAGGCACAAGTTAGATCTCTAGATGTTGCAGAACTACAGCTACCACCTCTGGATCTACCGTTTAACCACCCCTGCTCCAGGGGTTTTGTGTGTTCCCATATATTTTATTTAGCCACAAACCAGCTTAGATGAGGCATGAACATTTGAGAGGCATTCTGCCAGTCTTTACATGCATTTCCTCATAAAAGACTTTCAATTATTGAAAATCTTCACGAATGTGGGGCATGCCTATTATGTCAACAGTTCTTCTCCATGAAAAGTTCTGGATTATAACACATAGTGTTTAGCTGAGAGTAGTAAAAATGTGTTTTTATTATTTTACAGGGGAGAGCCATAATGTAAACTTAAGGAACACGAACAGTAACCTTAAAGGAACACTATAGGGTCAGGAACACAAACATGTATTCCTGACCCTATAGTGTTAAAACTACCCCTGGGCCCCTCATGTCTCCCTAAATATAGCAACATCTTACTTGTATTCAACCCTGAAGCTGTAGCTCTGCATGCTGTTTGCCTCAGAATAGCAAGCTGTCTGCTGACATCTTCAGAAGTGGTGGCCTGATCCAATCGAGGTACTTCCCCATAGGATTGGCTGAGACTGACAAGGAGGCAGATCAGGGGCGGAGCCAGCACAATTCAAACACAGCCCTGGCCAATCAGCATCTCCTCATAGAGATTCATTGAATCAATGAATCTCTATGAGAAAAGTTCAGTGTCTGCATGCAGAGGGAGGAGACACTGAATGTTTGGATGCATTTTAGGTAGCCATGACCCAGGAAGGATCTCTAACAGCCATCTGAGGAGTGGTCAGTGAACTTATCACTAGGCTGTAATGTAAACACTGCATTTTCTCTGAATAGACAGTGTTTACAGCAAAAAGCCTGAAGGTAATGATTCTACACACCAGAACAATTTTAAAAAGCTGTAGTTGTTCTGGTGACTATAGTATCCCTTTAAATAACAATACATTTATTTTTAATGTTAGAGAGTTCCTTAAATAAACACTATAGGACCTGTAATAACCTGGTCCTATATACTCCAGCCCTATCTTTGGCCCTGCTCTTGTCAGTTTTAATCGATTACTCCAAGCACTATGACCACCTCAGTGATTTGAAGTGGCACGGTATCTGCAGTTTCTACAGTCTACCCCGAAGCAGGGAAGACCACAGAGTGTCAGTTCTCAAACACTGTCTGACCCAAGATGTATGTATATGTCCGAAGGGTTCTGTTATCTACTATAGGTAGGGATTAGCTTTTTAATGTTTCTTTTTATTTAAAATATATATACATTTCCTTTCAAAACTCAATGAAAGGAAAATGATATTAAAAAAAGATTTGAGGTTACAATTTTAATATATTTAGAATAAGACTCTTTTATGGTGACAGAGTTTGTCTAATTCAGCATCACTGCTTTCTTATTAGAGACACTGAGATATTAGGGATTTCTGTACCCACAAAAAAGTGTAACCCATCAGTGATTCGCAGATGTACAGTTAAACACATATATCAGGAAATTAGCCCTGCTTCCGAAGCTGTGTCCTTAGGGTGTTAATGTACAGATCCTTTTATGCCCCTTACTGAGGGTGTCCATTTGGCCCTTCCGCTGCGGATAGACTAAAAATGTCCAAAATTCCCTATAATAGATTTACACAAGTAGCTTCTGAGTCTAAATAGATATATACAAATCTTTAACCTTTCCCCCTGCAAATATGGAGTTACATCACTAAAATGTGATCTGTGTTGAGTTGGCAACCAATCAAAAGCATTGAACATATGAACATGTTTTTCAACGTGCCTGTTTTGGTTTCCTATTTTGTGTAAATGACTAAGCCTACCTGCACAAAAGAAGGAAACACATTTTTCATTTACAAACCTATTCCACAGGCAGGGAGTTGATAATATATTCTCCATTTATTCATCTGCATTCTAATGATGTCAAACATGGCCCAGAGTCCTATTAAATGAGTACGATTTTCTCCATTTGAACTGTTCTGCATTGCATTTGGTGTGCATCAGGAGATTAACTTTGCTTTATTCAGTGATATTTTATTTGAATTCTTTTCAGGCTGTGGCTCTATAAAGCATCTATCGGAGTCATCAGGAACCTTTTCAAGTCTGAATTACCCCCAAAACTATGATAACAGTCTAACCTGCATGTGGGAGATAACAGTCCCTGAGAATAAAGTAAGTGATGTATAATAAGAATAGTGAAATGATAAAAGGGAAAAAAAATCATGAATAGTTGTCGATATGCTTATTTTATTATGTTTTATAAAAACATTCATTATATTTATTATTATTATTTAAAAATGAAGGGATTAGGTTTAATTATTATATTTATCAATTGAAGCTGTGATTCAGTAGTTATTTTTATTCTATTTTAAGCCTTTAAACCACATTAGCAACATTTACCTTCCTTGGCTGGATGATAATCTTAACTTCACGTATACAAATCTTGAAGAATGTGCTTCACTGCAGGATATGCATATAAAGTGAAGTTTTATTGAAGCCACATACGGCCCAGATTCACGGTAACAAATGAGATGGTTTTTCTACATAAGCCTTAATTGAAGATTATGCTAGCGTTAGTGTACTTATAATCTTAATTTTAGTAATGACAGGAGGCGAGTATTTTGCATAACTCTCTTTACTAAACTCCATAGCAGTAAAGAAAGTGAAACATTTAAACCAATCAAAATGCAAATAGGGAGTATATCATCCCAGCAAATAGGCTCCTCCTCCTCTTTCGGAAGCGACATCGGAACAGGGAAGAAGGTAGCGATAAAGTCTGTAGTAAACATCAACTGTGGTATCCAACTGGAAAGATGAACTTCTCGGCATGAGTGGGAACCGGCACCAACGGGTGATGGAAGTCGTCTGATAGAAGGCGTGGTCTTTGTCAGAAGAACCGTAGTCCAATGATTATGCCGCAGAAGTTGCAGGATGAAACGAAGTTAAACTGAAATGAGAATGTGAGAAGGTTAGGCACCGGTCTGGCAACTGTTTGTGATATAGGTATTGATCCATCGGATAGCATTGAAACAGTGTATATTATGAATTCAGAGAATAGTCTAACAGTAGATAGATAGGCTGATGGTAATAGAGGATACAATATGCCAACATGTTGGTTGACTGAAAAAGAAGGAAGAAAAAGGAGACAGTAGTAGCTGTATGAATAGAGTAGTTCCCCTCCTCTCCGGGTGGGAAGGGTGGGAAAATACTCGCCTCCTGTCATTACTAAAATTAAGATTATAAGTACACTAACGCTAGCATAATCTTCAATTTTATCACATGACAGGAGGCTTCCTATTTTGCATTTTTGCCGCTGTTGTATAAGAGACATGGCTGCACCGGAGTTCGGTCGGAAGTAGAAGGTGCGGAACGTAGATTCTCTAGACCAATCCGCGGAGTGTAGGATATCCGTTATGGAGGCACCCGCCATGAAGGCTGAGGATGCTGCTGCTCCGCGTACGGAGTGTGCTCCGAATGTAGTGTCCACGCCGGCTAGCGATAGTAACCATCGAACCCATCTCGCTAGGGTGGTTGTTGTAATAGGAACATGTGGTCTAACGTATGATACTAAGAGTTGACCTGAGGGCGTAGACCTGAGTGGTAGGGTAGTTTCTACATACTGATGTAGAGTGGAGACGACACAGAGTTGTGGATCCGTGGGGAAGAATGGATAAAATACAGATGTGGAGTCCGTCTTAGTGCGACGAGATATCCTGAATGTTACTCCTTCTGGGGAGGTAGAAAAAGCGTCTATGTCCAGCGCTCGAATGTCTGACACTCTGCGGAAGGAGACCAGGCAAAGCAAGACTGTGAGTTTTGCTGAGAGTTGTCGGAGGGAGAGTCTGTCGTTAGTTGGCCAGTCTCTCAGGAATCGGAGGATTACGTCGACGTCCCAGAATCGAGAATATTTCGGGCCTGGAGGGCGTTGTAATCGAATGCCCCTCAGAAGTCGACACACCAGTGGGTCCTTGCCAACCGGAATCCCTAGTATGGGGGCATGAGCTGCTGAAATAGCTGAACGAATTACGTTGATTGATCTGTAAGACCGACCTAATGAGAATAGGTGGGATAGGAAGTTCAAAATGGCTGAAATAGGGGCCGTAAATGGATCGATGTTCCGTTCCAAACACCAAGTGGACCAGGAGTTCCAAGCGGATAGGTAGCATCTTCTGGTTCCAGGGGCCCATGAGTCCCATAGTAGCTCTTTAGCAGCCTGCGATAGTTCGCCGACTTGCCAGGAGCCCCTGAAAGTGTCCAAGCCACCAGATGGAGACGCTCGTCCAGGATGAGTGGATGAGGATCTGTGAGATCTGTGAGATCTCTTGGATCTGTGAGAATGTACTGATGATGGGGTAATAGAAGAGGATACTTGTATGAAAGAGCTAGGAGGTCCGGGAACCAAGGTTGTCCTCTCCATAGTGGAGTGATGAGCACTAGAGAGGTTTGTTGATTCTTCAGGTAGTGTATGGTCCTCGCTATCATGGCAAAGGGGGGAAAAGGCGTAGGCTCCCGTGATCGGCCATGGTTGTAGGAATGCGTCCACTGCAGCGCTCTCCGGATCCGGGAGCCAGCTGAAGTACAGTTCCGTTTGTCTGTTGTTGCGGGACGCAAATAGATCCAGGTGGAGTGGTCCTCGGCGATCCGCAATGTGGTTGAAGATTTGTGGATCTAGTTTCCAGTCGCTGGTGTCCCGCCAGTGACGTGAGAACCAGTCTGCTGTGAGGTTTGTCTCTCCTGGGAGATATTCTGCCGTGAGAGAGATGTTGCGGGGTAGGCAGAAATCGAAGATCTCCTTCGTGATTTCTGACAGGAGGCGGGAAGGGCTCCGCCTAGGCGGTTGATGTAGCGGACTGCAGAGATGTTGTCCATCCTGAGGAGGATGCAGCAATCCGACTTGTCCTTCGCTAGGCTTCGGATGGCGAATGACCCTGCTAGGAGTTCCAAGCAGTTTATATGCATGTTGAGGTCTTGGGATGTCCAGGTTCCTCCTGTCGATGTATTTTCGCTCGTCGCGCCCCATCCCCAGAGGCTGGCGTCTGATTCCAATATCATATCGGGAGCCCTTCCGAAGATGGCTCAGCCGTTCCATGCCTCCATGCTGTCTAGCCACCATCTGAGTTCGTCTCTGACTTCTTCTGTCATCGGGATTGGCTGATCGTATGAGGGGTTTTTCCTGAGGAAGGAAGCTTTGAGGCGCTGCATCGCCCTGTAGTGGAGGGGACCGGGGAATATAGCTTGTATGGAAGCCGAGAGAAGTCCAACAATGCGTGCGAGGGCGCGGAGTGGAATGGTGTGGCAGCGGATGGCCCTGCGTAATTCCTTGCGAATGGCTGAGATTTTTGCTGACGGTAGCCGTAGGGTGCTGGAGATGGAATCTATCTCGAATCCCAGAAATTGCACTGTTTGTGATGGGGAAGTAGCCGACTTCTGAAAGTTCACTATGAAGCCCAGGGATGACAGGAGATCCGTGGTATACCGTGTGTGACGTACCAGTCGGTGTCTGTCTGAGCAGAACAGCAGGAGGTCGTCCAGGTATATGATGCAACGAATTCCTTGCGCTCGAAGATGTGCGACCACGGGTTTCATCAGTTTGGTGAAACACCATGGGGCCGAACTGAGGCCGAAGGGGAGGCACGTGAATTGCCAAGGAAGGCCTTGCCAGTGGAAACGAAGGTATTGTCTGCAGGATTGGTGGACGGGTACTGATAAGTAAGCGTCCTTGAGGTCTAGTCTCGTGAACCAATCCTTGTCTTGTAGCAGGTCTCGTAGAAGATGTATGCCTTCCATCTTGAAGTGATTGTAAGTGACGTATTCGTTGAGTTGTCGTAGGTTTATGACGGGTCGTAGGTCTCCCGTTTTCTTCTTTACCAAGAAGATGTTGCTGAAGAAACCTTGAGGGTCGGAGGCGGGTTTGATCGCGCCTTTCGAGTATAGGGTTTGAAGTTCGTCGTCGATGAGAGAGGTGTCTATCCTTGAGCAGTGGATAGGACGTGGTAGTTCTGTCTGTCGTGGTTGGTCTACGAAGTCTATGACGTACCCTTGTACTGTCTGTAGGATCCATGCATCCGTGGAGATGGAGGTCCATTCCTGGAAGAAAAGAGATATGCGACCTGCTGTATGCATTGGGAGTGAGAAGTGAGTAAAATGGTTGCTTACCTGAGGAAAATCGAGCTCTGCCTCGGGTGCGAGGTCCTCGACCTCTGTCTGCACCTCGAGTGTAGGAGTACGGGCGGTATCCCACCTCTGGGTAGAAAGGTTGAGGTCTCGTAGAGCGGGGGCCTGATGGCCAGAAGCGGCTGGCAGCACGGCCCCTTTGGCGGCCAGCCCGTCCAAAAACACCCCTGAAGGGGTTTTGTCTGAAGACTCTACGCATTGATGTCTGAGCCTTGTTTAAGGATGTGTAGACGTTTACATGTCTACTTAGCTCTTTTAGGAAAAGTTCTCCAAAGAGCTTGCCCTGTGCCATAGGACCTAGTTCTTTGGTGCCCAACTCCACCAATTTCCCGTCAATGCGGAGAAGTGCTGCTTTACGTCGCTCGGATGATAAGGCGACATTGGCATTACCCACAAAACAAAAGCACCTTTGTGCCCATTCCCGCACATCATGCGCCCATTCTCGCACCATAGTAGCGTCAAATTGATCGGCTTTAGCTAGGGCGTCGTCGGCCAAGTACATAATTCTGGATAATGGTCCCACAGTGTCCAGAAGTTTATCCTGTACCCCTTTGAACCCTTTCTCCACACCTTTGCGTGGGTCGCGGCCACCTCGCGACATAAAGGTGGTCATCACCTGGTCGAATTCTGGAGTGTCCGCAACATGGTCAGGTAGAAAAGGTCGTGGGCATTCCGACCTCAAGCGGTTGCGGACTGTCTTGTCCATGGACTTCCGTAACCAGAGGTGCATGAACCTCGCTAAGTGGTCGGGTGGTGTCCAGTCGCTTGAGCGTGGGTGTCTTATTTTTCGTGGATCAAAAAGTTTTTGCCCCAACGGGTCGAAAATGGTGTCTTCATCTTCCTGCGGGGTTTCCGTGTCTGGTTCTTGGGGTTCTCCCGTGAACGCTTGTTGTGGAAAGAAGGATTGGGATCCTGAATCTGAGCCCCAAACGTCTTCGTTGGAATCTGACTCGTCCGCTTGCCATTCGTCTAAGATGGCCATGGATTTGGCGTGAGAGTCTTCTTCTTCCGAAGAGTACTCGTGTGGCGGGTTCGGGGTGGCGGCTATAGCGGGTTTAGTGCGTTTAGCAGGGTCTTTGCCTTTGTTAGGGTTTTGGTGACCCTTTTCGCCTTTCCAATGGCGTTTGCCCGTGAAGGTTTCTGGGCTCTTGCGTGATTCTGGTTCATCAGAATCTGAGTCATGGCGGGCTGTGTGGGTTTTTGATGGTTTCTTCCTGTCAGGATTAGAGGCCATCATTTTGGAGAGAACTTTCTCCATGGAGGCGGATACAGCCTCATTTACCATGGTTTGGAGCTCTGTAGTCTGAGAGGTCTCCATAATGCCTGAATATGTGTTGGCACAGGGCGTATTATAGAGGTCAGTAAGCTGTGTAGACAGTACTAAGCTGTTTTATATTGTTATGCAGACCCCAGCAGGGTGCAATAACGTGTTTTGTTGTACAGAGTACAAAATTACCCCAGCAGGGCTTATACAAGGAATGAAATTGGTTTGAGGAGAAAAAAAACCAAATAACCCCAGCAGGGTTGTAAATATATATGTGATACCCCAGCAGGGTATATAGTGGTAAGCAGGGTATATAGTGCCAATGGTGGCAAAATAATAATATATATATGGCCCCAGCAGGGCAGAATACAACACCACTAGTTGGGATTTTTATTCTGGGCCTCACCCAGGGTTGTAGAGGTGGCCACAAAGCGACCTCTATGGCAGCACAGTTAAGGGCAGCACCCCAAGTAAGCACAGGTTAATACCTTATGTGCTTTACACAGCATTCACTAACTGACCTCTGTGGAGTATTTTGCGGTTAGAAAGTCCGTCCGTGTGTGTCCCTTGCGGTACTGGCGGCACTCGCGGCACTTTCAAGATGGCGTCCGTAATCTCGCGAGATGCGGTTTTAAAGATGGCTGCCGCGAGTGTAGCCGCGGCTGGCGCCGAGCCGCGGGAAATGAGTGAGAGGAAACCGGCAAGGGCGGCAAGCAGGGGCAAAGACAGGGAACCTGCCTAAACTCGGGGGACCGCCCAAGGGCGGGAAACGAGCGGGAAAAAAGAGCGGGAAAACGGAGCAAGCCACTGGGACTAGGGGAACAAAATAAAGAGTCCCAGTAAGGGAAAGTTCAAAATACAGAGATATCAAGGAAAGATAGTAAGAAGAAATAAAGTAAACAAAGTAAATAGACAAAAGTGACAATTATTAATGTACAGAAAAACTATATTATGAGGTAAATAGGGAAGAGCCAAAAACTCTGACCTGTCTGCGATGGAGCAGTAAAGAAAGAGGAGGAGGAGCCTATTTGCTGGGATGATATACTCCCTATTTGCATTTTGATTGGTTTAAATGTTTCACTTTCTTTACTGCTATGGAGTTTAGTAAAGAGAGTTATGCAAAATAGGAAGCCTCCTGTCATGTGATAAAATCATGTATATTTTAACATCATATTCTCTTTATAAGTGTAATTTTATAAATTGTATTTTTCTGAGTGACATAACAAACGATCTATGCTATACAATTAAAAAAATTAAATATAGACCCAATAACTTTTTTCAAAAAAAGAAAAGAAAAGTGTACATACAATGTGCTGAGTAAAAAATCAGCAAGTAAAGTGTAGTTAACAGAATCATTTAAA